CTCCATTTTAAAAGCACAGTAGGTGGGCACTGCAGGGTGCTGCATCCAGCCCCTCACCTGCTCACAAGCCTGGAAACCCTGCCAGTGGAATGATACCCTTCCCAAACATAGGGGCTCAGGCCCAGTTAACTAATTACCACCACTGGATTTTCAATCAGATAGGCTGGCATTTAAATATTGATCCATCTCTGATGGTTACAGGAGTGCCAGTGCTGCTTTCCAGAGGTGAGTGAATGGCTGCACTGAGAGCTTGGGCTGTCTCAAGGCAGTAAGATAACTAACCAAATAGTCCAAAAGCAGATGATTTGTGTAGTTGTGACAAACATCTACCACAAAGTGATGTAAACCAGCAACAGTTCATCTGTGATTAAGAAATATTTTTTGTTTACATTCTATTTTCCTTTCCAAACTCCTTAACAATGAGGAGAACGAGTGATGCTTGGAGGAGGAGGCTGAATGGAGGTAGAATTCAGTATTTAAATGAGCTAGTCACAGAAAGACAATGTCTAGGTGAGCCTGGCTTTGTATTTATTTCAACAGGAAAAATTATTTTGTCCAAACTGTCACTGTGGAGATCCTTTTACTAGTAATAGACTGAAAAAAATGAAATATCCATAAATCAGATGATATCTATGACTCACCAGACAAACAGCAGAGCAGACTATTTGAGGGAAAACTTCAGGTGAAGTATTTGCCACTCATTTTAATTATGAGAAACTGTTGTCTGAAATCTGGTCTTAATGCATTGCCCTCACGACTCATCACTGCTGTCTCTGAATCACCCAGATAATTCTCAAAATTAAGGGAGAGGGAGGTGTTAAAAGAGGAACAATCAAGACTTTGCTGATCTCCTTTGCATGTATTGCCAAACTGAGGGGAAAAAATTCACCCGTAGCACAGAGTCAAGAAACAAAATGGAAATTTACAGGCAAAATTTACCACCAACTGAACATCAGCCTGAATGGCCACAGATGTAGCTGCTATCACTGAGTCCCAACTCACTGAGCCAAACTACTGAGAAGCAAAGGCAGCATTTCTTGATTGTTAAGCGAGTTTCCTGCATCTAGTGTTTGTTCAGGTACAGGCTGAGTGCTCCCCTCTACCACCACCCCACCCCCTCCCCTGAGATAATTTAAGAGCTATTTAGGAAGAAGATTGAAACAGAGTTTGATTTGGGCTTCTACACCAGCTGATTCAAGGGTCTCCTACAAAAAGCTCAGCTTCAGTCAAACCTTGCAGATTTTTTAATAGTGCAGGACTAAACCCATTAGTTTTCCACCTAAGAAAAGGTAAAATGCGGTATATAAAGACCTGGATTGCAAATATCAAGTTGATTTTTGCTGTCTGCGTTCCTGGATCTCTCATTAGCACTAAACACACTTGTTGCAGGGAGGAGAGAGCTTTGGGAGCAGCAGCTGGTATCTTGGAAGACAGCTACCTGGGCCATGCCCGTGGCTGATGCTAACAGACTTCTTGTTCTGCTCTGGGGGAAACTGTGGAAAGCTTGTTTTGGGAATGGAGACCCTTTCTTAGCACCATTCCTGCAAGATCCAGCCTCACAAGACTGCCTTCTCTTGAGCAAGAAACCCCTCTTGGAACAGCTGCCTTGAAGTGGGGACTTGTCTTCCTTACCTGAGCAGATTGGCAAGATTGAGTTTCCAATCTGGTGAAGAGAACAATTCTTATTTGTGTTCTGCTGCCATGCTTGTGCAAACATTCCAGAGCAGCGCTGTGCTAAAATGTGGGACCCTGCCTTTTATACCCTGATGGAAAAGTGGAGTTATGTGAGCAAAGAACACAGCACAATCTCTTGGCCTTATTTTGTTTTTCAATGATCTTATTTTGTCCATGTTGTCTGCATATTGACAGGACAACCAAGCAGCTGAAACTTAGCTAAATACTGACCTCTCTGATGTGATTTGAAGCTATCATCTCATGAAAAAAAAAAAATGAAGGATCACTAGCTGAAATTGGAGTATTCAGCAGCAGGGCAAAGAGAACTACAGTACATGAATACAGAGAAGACTGTCCTTATGGTAATTCTGGCAGATGGCATAAGGTTGCAAGCAAGTAATAGAAAATTTTAAAACTAATGAAACAAGATTAGCATAGGCCATTCCATTAGTATTTCTCCTCCCAAACAGTTCAGTCCTGATTATATTTTATATCCTTGTGGAATTAAAGCACTGTACTTGCTGGCTGCAAAGGGAAATTAAACCAGGCTACTGTTTGTGGATGATTAACTTGCATTTCATTTCAGACTAAATGTATATGCTGGAGCCCTTTGGAGCCACAGACAGACCCTTTTCTTATGGGGAATTTGAGCAGCAGGATGAAGGGTCCAGTATTTCATCTTAGGTGAAATCAACTGGGTAACCACAGACAGACAAATCAAGACTTTCATGAACGCTCCCAAATTTATATGGTTTCACTGCATGAGAGATGTTGCCAACAAAATATGGTTAGGGAAAGCTGTGGGACTCCAAGATCTGTTTCTCCCATGCAGTGGAAAGGGCTGCTTGCTAATGTCTGTGTCACCCACCACTAACACACCCCTCCCCATGGTGGCAAGGCCGTTCATTGATGCTATTCCTGCTCCCCGTGCTGTAATCATTTGCTGCTGGTTGTCATCTCCAGAGGCTCAGATCTCCCCAGCTTTAGACCCCGAACAGAGGCAGCTGGGCTGGGACAATGTCACCTCGCACTCAGCAGGCAGGTGGAGAGGAGCCAAGTGAGAAGCAGCAGCTGCTGCTGAACTTGCTCTTGCTGGAGATGCCTCTCCTTCTCCATCAGAGGCAGAAGCAGCCCGTGGTGACCACAGTGCTGACTTCAGCTCTCCCCAAAGGAGGATGAAGCTGTATGATGCAGAGTTACCTATTTTGTTCGTGCTGAATAATCTTCTTTTGGCCCTTCTTACACCAAGCAATCTACACACCTGTGGGCTGTGACTCCTGTTGCCTTATCCCTGCTCCCACATTCTGGAGGAAATTTATAGATGCATCAATACAATTTCTTAGAGTGAAATGACCCTTAAATAAAGTAAATGTTGGGAATTAATGGGGGAACTGATCTCTTTTTGCTGCTGAAAAACAATGAATACCCTATTGGTGCATTCTATTAAAAAGAGCCTGAAAATAAATTATATGCTGCTCTTATGATGAGAGTCATGCAGATTTATATTACTATTATAAATAATTATACAGTTATTCAAAGTAATTTTGTTATTGACTTTTGGGGCTTATCACACAAAGGAACAAGGGCAGTGACCTGATCTTTCATATGAAAAATAAAGACACATAAACTGTCTAACCAGCCACTTCACTATGCATGGAGAATAAAACCATTTTTATGCAAATAGAATCTGAGACCAAAATGCCTTTTTCCTTCACCTCCTTTCTACTTCATTATTAAATAAATCACAAAGATGTCACTGGAGACCCCATAGAAAGAGGTCTCAAACTGTAGAAATAAGAGCTTTCTGCCCTTGTCTATTTTTAATTTCAAAAGGTATTCTGAATTAAAAAAAAAAAAAAAAAAGAGATGGGAAAGAAAGCATAGTGCTCTTCATATGCCTGATTTCCCAGGAATAAAAACAACCTCTGTGTCCTTTAATAATAATGCAAGTTTTCAAAAACAGACACAAGTAAATGAAGATTAAACTATGATCCATGAACTATGATCCATGAGATTCGCATTGTCCACTGCTTTTCAAATTCAAATTCTACCAGACAGTGAATATTTTTGCTAATTAATGCAGCTAAAGTGTAGATGATAACTTCTATCCCCTCCCTTTTTATTTTTTTAATGGAGAGATATTTTTCTGGAAGTTCTGCACGTCAAAGCTGAATAATAATTTGTCATTTTTCATAGATGCTCCATATCATGTACAGTGCTGAGACTACAGTGCAGAAAGTGAGCAGGCAAAACCAATCATCTTTGTGTTGAAGAATAGATCAACATTGAATTTTTCTGTCATTTGAGCAAATACCCAAAAGTAACTACAGTTGTTTTGAGTCAGAGGTTTTTGGTTTTCAGTAAATAACATTAAATATCCCAGCTGTAATACAGAATTCTCTGTAGATCAGTCATATCACACTGAAAATTGAACACACATTAATGTCTTACCTAAGAGGGGCACAAATTTGGAGCTGGAAGATAGTCATGGATGTTGTCTACCAAAAAAGGGGTTATTCCAGAAGAGATGTTATGGAATAGTTAAGGTTTAGATTACAGAGTTTGTATTTGGGACAACTTCATTTGGCAGTGAAGTTCTTTGTCCTTGATCTTATGGATATTTCAGCACTTAATGTGACCTAAGGAAAAAAAGCTTTTGTCTAGACTGGGTGGGATTCCTGCAAAGGCTGCATTTCAGGGCCATGATTGGTGCTCCATGCTCACTGGGAATGTGGGAGAGATAGCTTTGAACAGTGGTGGGACCTGAAGGGAATGTGGGGTGTGCTGTGTGAGCTGGGGTGTGAGGGGACCCTTCCCACTATGTCCATGGGGACCTCTGGAGAGTGGGGCTCGAGCCATCCACCCAAGGGAGCACAGGTGGTTTGCTTTCTGTGGTGATCCTGGCAGCAGGATTATTCAGTGGATTTGTTTTCCTGACCTTAACCCTTCTGATGACAATTATTACTCTGCAGCTCTTCGTTCCCTAGTTGTTGGACTGAACAAGCTTGGTGTTCTTCACATCTGTCAACCAACAGGTTCTCCATCCTGCTGGTCATCTGAACAACAACTGAAATACAAGCCCATATATCTGCAAGAGTAAATGTCTCTTCATTTCGAACCAGGGAGATGCAATATTTAACCATGCAGGAGTAAGCTGAAGGGTGGTATTTGTGAGGAGAAAGAAATTATTTAGGCAGCCTGTGTTGTGAACTAGCATGAGGTTTTTGGATAGGAAGAAAGGGAAAAAGTCCTTTAAAGCTACGTAGGAACATCACCAGATATACTATTTGAACTGTTAGTTAATGGTAAAATGAAATATTTCCTACCCATGAAAGTACAAATCATGTATTGAATCAGATTCCAAAGGCGATGTAGTATGATAAGAAATGCCAAAAGTGTTATGCAGAATGCTAACTCCTGTGAGAAAATAAGAAGAGTGCTTCACCAGCGTTGTCATCACATGAACTAGTCATTAGCACTATGTTCCGTGAAAAAGCTCTGTTTCCACAGCACTTTTCCATTATATACTTTAATTAGAAGAAGGGAGTAAATACAGTGGTGTGAAGAACATCAGCTGGGGTTTAAAAAAAAAAGGGAGTATAGCACTTCAGAGTGGGTTCAGTAAAATCACATGCAGGAAAAATACAAAGTTGAAGTTCACATACTTGAAAATGATCACTGCCCCATGACAGCAGTCATTTCCTTTGTGACATAGACACATCTCAGCTCAGGTCCTTAAATCTGACCACAGCATCATCTCATGGCATCACCCTCACTCGGTTACTCTTTTTCTATTCTTCTGCACATTTCTGCTTCTTGCACTTTCCTATCTCTTGCTGTGTCTCCAGCCCATTGGCAATCTCATCCTCAGCCGTTTCCCCTGCTCCTTTCTCCCACATCACCAGAACCATGAGCTACTCTTCTCCACATCCTCCTCCTTCTTCCAAAATGCCAGTGTCACCTGTGATCTGGGAAAATATCAAGATGCAGCACCCCCAAACTCACATGCCAGCAAGAACTGACATCTTTCCTATGTGCCTGTTTTTGCTCCTGGTACCCAGTGAAGAAAGCTGGGTACCAGGCTGCTGTTGTTTTTCAGAGAGCTGCCCACATCAAACACAAGTTTTGTTCCTTTTCTTGTTGCTGAGACTGAGAGGTGCAGACCACACTTAGGCAAGCTCCCAGAAAATTAACCTAGTACGGAATTTTCCTACCTATTGTGAGATTAGGGTGCCTGGTCTTCAGTGTAACCGATAAGAGGAAACAGCACCAATAAATTTCACTGTGAATTTACTTTTTGCCAGTTCATTTCAAATATACTTAAGAAGAAAATGTCATAGTAGATTTGAGAATTTTAAAGTACTTGTGTTTTTAATTCCACTCAAATATTCTGAAATCAAACCCTGACTTGAAAAATAACCACTGAAATTTAGTGGTCAAATGTTGCTTTTGTTAAGAAAGTCAGCCACCAAATTCAAGTATCACTGACTGAAACCTCTAGCAGAAGATAAATGCCCCTTTTATAAGATTTCTGTGAACTCCTCCTAATTTTTTGCCTGGCACATGATTGTTTATCTATTGTCATACAATTGTTGACTATATAGCTGCTTATGTATGCTATATAGTCATCTCCAGACTTAAAGGAAACAGCATGAAATCCTTAATACCCACTTTTTCTTTCTCACACACACAGACACACACAACCTCTTCTCATTACACACAAACAGGTAATTGCTTTGTTAAAACATGCAGCTAGAAGCTGTAAATTACCATGGTTTGATTTACAGAGTGCTGCTCATGGGCTGGTCACCAGACACTGGAGCAGGACCTGGTGCAGTGCGCAAATCCTTGCACAGCTCCCTCAACTCTGTTCCTTGTATACATGTGCTGGAGGAGGATTATTGAAATTCAGGTTATACCAACTCTAATATTGTCATTTTAAGGAAAACACCCTCCTGTGCTCAACACATCAGTATCTGTTATCCTGTCATGCTGCTGAGTGTCTAACCCTGAACTGAAATGTATCATCTTCATGCTCTCTTTTAATCAAGTCTCCAGAATCCTTGGAGCAAACCCTCTGCCACAGATCTGAACCCAGGAAATCACACTCCTTACTGAGAGGCAACCAAACACACAGGAAGGCTCTGGGTGTTTGCACAGCTTCATGTTCACAAGGGGAAGTACTCCAGGTGCAGCCACAGAGCTGCAGAAGGCAAAGCCAAGCCATAGCTGCTCAACCAGTCACAGTAGGACGGCACATACACAGACTGTCAGCAGGTGATGAGATAAATCTCAGGCACAGGATTTTTCTGCCACTAACACATGCAAATATCTGATGTGCAGCGACATCACTGGCCTCTCCAATAGCTCCTGTGCGTGAGTAATTTGGATTACAGCTGGCACAAGCAAGGTGCACTGGCAGGTAAGCACAAGCAACCACCAGCATGCTGCTTTTGAAGCTACAGTCAGCCTGTCACACATTGAAACCATCTACAAATCCAGTGGATTTGCTGAAACGACAATTTGTGCTGTTTTCATATTTTTGAAATTGTTCTTATTCTTTAGCATGCAGAGGAAAATGAAGTCACATTTTCCTTAACAATTGGTGTTCCCCCCTTGCTGCACGTCACAGCCCTCTGGGGTGACTTCAGGAGCACTGACCTTGGACGTCGCTGCAGTGGCATTACTTTCCTTACCACTCCCTGGTGCACTCTCCTTGATTGTTGCTGCTGTCGGGGCTTCTGCCTTCTTTGCACTTGTTTCCAGAGAAACAGGAGTCCCTACTTTCCCCAGCCCACTCACCGGGCTTGAGCTTGGACTGCTTGGTTGCCGTGACTGGGACTTATACCAGCTAGGGTAAAACAAGGGATCGATGGTTTCTGCTGTGGCCGGCACTTGAGTGTCAGACTCGGGAGTCTGTTGAGAACCACTTGGTGTCACAACAACATCCTTAATCAGGACAGATAAAGAGAAGAACAAGCAGAGTGCACCACGTTACCTTCCTGCTGTAGTCACATTGTTCTGCATGTTGTGTTTGTTAGATATCACTGCAAGGCATAGGTTTGTCCTACTAATATGATCTGAAAGAATTGCAATCAAAATGCAAAATGCAAAAGCAACTATCATTTGAATAACACAGAGAAGAGAAAGAAAATAAATGAACCCAAAGCCAGAACAGGAGGGTAGAACTAGCTGGGAAGGGAGTGCTAACTGAGAAAGGAATGAGCAAGGGGCTCTTTAATTCAGATAAACCCTCAATTCAATTCTAAAAACTTAAGAAGTTCTGCATAAGATTCTCATGAACCCATACCAGCCATGAATGACAGATGTAGGTACCTTCAAATGGCTTGTTGGGTTTTAGGTTAAGAATAACACTTTAGCCAATGAGTCTGTTGATACAAGCAGTCAGAATAAAGGGAATACTGGAGGGAAGCATTTGCCCATGAACCTTGCCAGCAATGCTGTAAGCCAAGCACTGTTGCTCTGCCAGGAAGAGGAGCAGCTGGATGAACTGCATCTCTCTACCTGTGTCAAGATCTTGGGGTTTCTGCACACACAGTCTGCTATCACCACTGCATTTCTGCCTTGCCTTTTTACACCAGAAGGCAAAAACTCAAATACAGGTATCCCCCACACCACAACAACCACATACCATGTCTGACTCCCTGCCTGACTATCTCCTAATGGCATTTTACAATTTCTGTACCGTTCTCACTTAAGCCTTAGAAATTAGAGAATTCATCTTGGTGGGCAGAACTGCTTATGCCTAGTTCTTGTTTGCATAACACCCTGCATAAGTCAGGGGACACAAGTTTAGTTAATACAATGCAAATCTTCAAATTTTGATTTAATCAGTAAAGGCTGATTTAAGAACATCTTCACATGACTGATGAAAACCCACACATGTTTTTAGATCAAAGAAAGAAAGACTTCATATCCTTTATTTTCACTTGTTTTATGTGGGGAGCTTGCTACAATCAAAGATCCCTTGTGTGCTTTCTTGTTTTCACATAGGCCTCCTCAAATACATTCACAGCAGCCTTTACCCCTCAGCAACTTCACTGAGTAAATTGTCTAAGAGGAGAATTTGCTAAGTTAACTAAAGTAGCAGATGAAGTATATTTTAATGTACATCTTTTAGAATATGCAGCAATTATAATCTCATTCTAATCAAATTCCCTAAGAAAAGTGTTGGCCTAAAATATTCACAGCCTGAACCTGTTTGCTGTTAGGTTGTAAGAGGCAGTTTCCTCTCAGGTTTGGTGTATTGTTGTATCGTGCTTTTTGTTTTATCAGTGGGTCTATGGTTTGATTTGTGATTTAGTGCTTTTCCTGGTGCTGGTTTTTCCTTTTGTCTCCACCCTTTTCCCAGAAATGTCGTCAGCTAGTTTCTAGTTTCTATTTCTCCAAATTTTACCCATTTCCTAAAAACTGTTGTTCTTCCTTGGAAGTTTATTGGTTCACTCCTGTTATTCCCCGCCTGGGTTTTTACTCCCAACTCTCCTGATTTGTTGGAAGTTGGGTCTGCCCCTGCCTTTCCCCTGAGATATAAGTCTTTGTCGGCCCCTTAGTCGGGGCCCAGGAAGAAAGAGGGGAAGAAACACCATCAAATAAAGTTTCCCTGGGACCCCTGTGCGCTGCCTGTGTTTTATACTGCGCCGAAACAACTGACAACTGGGATTCAAGGAGCTCCAGGGGGAAAACTGCCGCCCCTCACTCTCACATCAGGTAGCGGGGAAAGAGAAGCGGCAGTGTATGATATTTCTGCATCTACCTAGACATATCCCAAAGATGATCAGAGCAGAAGGCAGCAAGTGCCATTCACAGAAAACAGATTAAAAGTATAATCTAAAAACTGGTAGTGGAAAGCTTCCTAAATCCAGAGGGAATGCCAAATTCTCTTAGTATAGATATTTTAACAGTCATCTCATTTATAACAGTTAGTCTGAGTTAAATCACAGCAAGCAGAACATTTGTTGTAATACACTTAACTCCCAAACAGTCTTTTTTATTTATCACTTACGTATCCCATATATATCTTGATTTGTCTAGCAGCTAATTTTTTGCTTATCAAGTGACACCTGCACATGTTGAAGTAGAGTTGCATATATGTGTACAAGGGCAATAAATAATTTTTCCCTCCAATGCACCGACTCCCTTAGCCTTGCTCCTGAGCTATGGTGCCCACAGGACAGTGTGGGGCATTTCCTGGCTCTGCCAGGTGCACTCAGCAAAGCTGGCAGGGCAGTGGGGCAGCAGAGACATTTACCTGACCAGCTGGGGCACCCAGCACCGGTGCTGGAGTGGGTTCAGCCGGGGGCTCTCCCCCTGCACTCTGTGCTTCAGGGTCCTGCTGAGGTGCTTGTGGTGCTCCCTCTGACCCTTCCTCTTCCACCTCTTCCTCCTCTTCCTCCTCTCCTGATGACTCTGTGTGGACTTCGCCCAAGCCTTCGCCATCCTCTGTCTCCTCCTCTTCTTCTCCCTCCTCCTCTGATAGGACAGGTGTAAAATGACAAGATGAGCACCATGTGAAGATGGCTTCAGACTTCAAGTAATTAAAAAGCCATTTGCAACTGCATGGCAAAGTCACTGACAGTCTTCTGCCTGGCAGAGAGGGTGTTGGTGAGGAGCCTGTTCCCACCAGCCTGGACTTGGCACTGCCATAGAGCTGCCAGCAGGAGCTTTGGGGCAGGGAAGACACTGAACACACATGCTGGTCAAAATCTTAAGCTGCCCCTTTCCATGGGAAGGAGGACAGGAATTCCTGTCAATGCAGTTATCCTCATGAGGGATGTGCAGCACAGCCCTGCATGTTTTGGGAAGAGGATGCCTGGGATCTGGCACAATCTGTAATGAAAAAAGTCCTTTTTCCAGTTCTAGGTATATGTTTGTTTTAATGCCATTGAAACTGTCCTCACAATTCTTTACTGGGTCAGTGCTTTGCAGTGCATGACTGGAAGTTTGAGATATCAGCATGCCTAAACCAGACTGTCAAACTTGGTCAAACCACTGCTTTCGTGCCATCTGACAAATCCTGTGGACTTGCAGTCGTGGCTCAGGTTGTTTCCAGAGGAAGGCCTCTAGCACTGGATTTTCTTTTGTATAATCACACTAGTTATCCTAAAAAATTTGCAGGGCCCTCCTAGCACTTCAGAGCAATAAACCTAGATTTGATTATAATTGATACATAATGCTCTGGTTACATTTTGGCATAGAGAGAAATAACTGATTTGAGGTTTTCTACTCAGTACCATCATGTGAATCACACACAGCTGCTATATATGAAAGAAATTTTGGTGAAATAAATTATATACCTCTGTCAAAATCAATTTCTCGTATTATTTTTTCTTCTCTACTGAGGTTCACTGTGAATTGGTTCATATTCTCATACCCATCCTCTATTTTTTCCATTTGAAATCCTTTAGAAGCTTCAGTAATTCTAAAATAGAGATTGGTTATTGGCATTGGATTTGAAGATAAATTTATAAATTGTAAGTGATTATAAAAAAAAGAGTCTCAAGTTTAAATACTTACTTTTGTAGCAATGTTTTGGCATTCTGTAGAAACAAAAAAGAAATAACTGACTTCTTAAATGGTTCAATTTTTTCAGAGATTTTATGCATTGAGAAATAATTCTTACAATGGCAGTTTTTAAAAGCACTAATAAGAATTTCATAAGTGACAGCCATGACATCTAGGAATGAGATTAAATTTGGATGGTAATTTCATGGTTCCCTACTCATCTCTCTTAAATTTACAGTAAGAAAACAAAAGGAAAAAAAAAGTAAATGTATCAAATGCAGCTTAACACATAAATTATTGAAAATTAATGATTTTGTCAATTTACAAGTGAAACCTGTAATTCCCAGAAGTTCATGTACACATGAACATATTGTCCCACCATGGTATTGGTGGGAAAATAAAGATTACCTGGAAAATGTTTGGATTCCTATTTCTTCTAAGGGGACCAGAAATTCATGCACAGGATAGTACATTTTGTTGCAAATAGCAAATACTCGTGTTCTTGATTTGGATACTATTCACAAGAAGAGCAGTTATTTGTCTGAGCTGATTCAGGTGTTTAAAAAATGAGTTTGTATTCATGTTCATGTGAAGATAAACAAACTCTGAATAGGCCTACAATTGACACATGCTTAAATAATATATCAATAAACCCATCATTCTTTTTCTAGCTCTATTTATAGACTTTATACCTGCAAAAACACAGCCATTTCTGGTTCTTCCATGAACTGGATTCCTGATTCAACCAGTTTTGACACAGCTTCCAAGTGATCCGCATACTTCTTCATCAGGGAGCGGACGTGCTCCAGTTTCTCCTCTTGGGTTCTAGTGATTATTTGTGTCATCTCATTTTTTCTTTCTTCCAGTACAGAATAGAGATAATCAAATTTTTCACACAACTGTTCTTTCTGTCGTTTGCAGCATTCCTGTGAATCATTTGGTTTATGTTAAACATGTTATGTTCTTAAAAGGGTTTCTATTTTTACAGTTACTTGGAAGCATTTTCATCAAAGAAATTCCTCTTTCTGAACAGTGCAAAGGATTCTGAATGACCCCAGAGACTTTTATAATTTTCAAAGTCCAAGCTGTTGGAACAAAAGTTTAAAAACTCTTCTCAAACTCTGAGTTTCAAGCCACTGAAAGCCCCCAAACAGGTCATTGTATAACTTGTGAGTCTGCTAAAAAAAGTAAAAAGGTATTTATGATGTCTGTGGTGATACATCAAAGTCTGCAGAAAAAGTAAAAGCTCCCACCGTATTAGCAGCTGGGTCCATTTGCGTGAACAGAATGGTTTTAAAAGGAGCGAGCATCTCAAACAGCTCTGGAGAATTTTCTTTTTCTGCCAGAGTGCCTGGAACAATCCTGGCTGGGCTTGATTTTCACATACGCCCTCTTAGACTCTATTTGGACAAGAAGTGTCCATTTTATTCCATTTACTGTGCACTGAATGAGGTAGAGGTTCTGCAAAGAAAATGGTGTGTGACAGAAGCACAAAGACAAGAAGGAGGAATCAGATTCCAACCGTATGCTCAGGCCCTGATTTTCACATCGTTTCTTGAGACATTTCTATTGTCCCTCCAACCAGACAGCAGCATCTTTCACTGAGTTAGGAGGATGGGTTTGATGACTGCTGCAGTGAGCACTCTCTCAAAAGAACAGACTGCACTTGTAAAGGAGGATTTATGGGGAGGAAATGGGGGACAGATTATATATAATGTCTGAGGTCTACCAAATAGAAGTACTTGAGTCATCTGTGTGCCCCAGGGCATGACTTTATTGTGGTTATGACCTGATTGTGGATGGTGGTGATTATTTAAATCTCTTTCCTAGGAACTGAGGCGGAATTGATTCCTCATCTTTGTCCCTTGAGGCATAATGCTGAGATTCTAGCAGCACAGGATTATTAACAGCTCTACAGAACTTTAGGTAGTGGTAAGACTTATTCACAGCACTTGGCCAGAGAGAATCCCACTTATTTCTTGACTTCCAGCCAGAGCTCATCTGTGAGTGGTATCATGAGCTCTGTACCCTTGAAAGGAGAAAGCCTTTCAAAGATTTACACTTGGCTAAAAATCACTGTCTGCATGAGGGTGGAGAGGGGATTGAATGCACATCTTGATGCATTGACCCAAGTATCCACCTCTGCCTCCCAATGAGGAGGGCTAGGCTAAACTCCTTGCAGGGGGTGCAGGCTTGTCCTGCCCTTCTGGGAGTCCTTGTCACTTCCCAGAAATTACTGATTACTGCAATTACAGGCACCCAACAATTACAATTACAACAATTACAACCCCCACAGGGTGGGGTTAAGGAAGTTTTCAAACCAAGTGGGTCATGGTTTCTGAGTGTCCTTCTATGTTCAGACCTCAAATAATCTTCTCCCACTCCTCTCCTAGCTGTCTCCCCATGAAATGTCATTCAGATCACTTGTAAAGCAACCTTAATTTCGAGACAGGTGTGTGCTATCTTTGTCATTTGACACAGGACAAATGTTCGGGGAAGAAGAGCAAGCAAATGATAGCAGGGTTCCCTGAGAGATCCTTCCCCATCTTTAAGCACTAATAGATAGTATTTCCTGCCAGCAGATATTACAGAGCTGTGAATCTCATGAGTGAGAGTGCAAAACAGGTTTCTAACTGCAAATGCTGAAATATTTCTGAAATATTCTCTTTCTGCATAAAAAGTTCCCATATGAAGCCTCTGCCTGATGGAATTACTCTAATCAGATTCTGTGTAATGAAAGAGGTTAACAAATACATGACTTTGCATTCTAAAAAGTTCTCAGCCTTTTTGTTTTTTAAAGCACAGCTACATCAAAAAGAAAGGAGTCCTTGCTACTGAGCATGAATCTCACTGCTTGTTCCAAAGGACCTGTATTGACTGGCCAATGCTCTTAGCATTTGAAAAAACACTGTAATTTTTCCTCTGTTATTAGACTAATTTACAGAGCTAAACAGAACTTAATTATTGATTATAGTTTTCTGGTATTTAGCATTTTATATTCCTTTCTCAATTTTCAGTATAATATGTTAATTAGGTCAACTTTTCAATCAGTTAAAAGTTGTACAAGTATTTTTTTGCTTTTCTGGTTTATAAGGCTGGAAAGGAGCAGTGTCTAAATGTAGAACTGTAGACTATTACTGATTCCAGCTAAAGGGAAAATGATAATGTATTTTCTGCTAAAGCAGATATTTATTGTTCTCTGCAAATTGTTAAGCAGAAAGAAGAGACAATCCTGGATTGTGTTATTTCCATGGGTAAACATTTCTGAGTTCCAGCTGTAGTCTCTTGTCCTCAAGGACAAACTGATGTCAACTCAGACAAAGCTCTTGCATAGTAGGAAATGTGATTTGCTTGAAATGTAACATGGAAGTGCCAAGGTAAACTCTAAGATCTGTTTTCTGCAATCTTTGACTTTAAAGGTGAAAAGCCTGATAAAACATCAGAAGGTAAAATGGCTGCATTTTCTTTGGGCTTTGACTTTAAAGGTTAGATTTTAAACTGAGTGGATGACTCTGAGGAAGTTAGTTTCAGAAACTGTTGTATTTTTTAGGTATTTTTAGCACAGTGTTTGCTCCATTTTTCAGACTAAGTGTTTGAAGATTTGTTTCTGGTTCAGCTAGTTCAGCTTAAATGAGAGTAAGCTTTTGCTTTTGTATAATTCAAATTTCTGCAGTTAACCTACTTGAAAGGCTTGTTTCTGTCTGCAAAGTCCTGATAGCAGCTAACTTCATTCTTGCAGGGTGAAGGCTTCCCAACAACAAAGTTCTGACTCTGCCTAAGTAAAAGTGAGAGCATTAATGTGCTCTCTCTTTTACTTGGGCCAATGGGTTTGTGTTCTTTGAAACAAACTCAGACATTTTCTGTTTCTTCTTGCTTGGAATTGTGTACATAGATTGTGTAAATTTTTTTTCTTACTAACTAGAATCTGTATATCTTGGATTAACTTATTTTTCCTTACCATTTCTCCTTTCTGCTCCATCTCTGAAGGGTCAATATAATTCTAATTGGGCTGAGAGAGATGCGACTTCTTCACTAGATGCTTCATCAAATTCTGATCACAAAATCAATTAATATGAACTCCATTCAGCCTATTGTCCTGTGATGCTCAGATTGGTCAAAGTTGATGTTTATATTTGCTTTGCTGATATAAAGCTCTCAGAGAAAGTGAAAGCCACTTCTGCTATTGAATAACACAAAACTAATTCCAGCGCTCCCAGAGTGAGGCCTTCACCAGAAAGTCCAGTAAGAGCCCAAACTCTTCTTTCCCATGAGAAACAAAACAAGACTCCTTAGAGGACACCATATTAAAACACTACTTCTGTGCAGAAGGCAAAGCAACCAAATACAGAACAAATACTGACACACCTTTGAACCATGCTGTGCCTACCCTGTGGCTGAGACTAAGGCTCTGTTCACAGGACCTGTCAGACTTCAGACTAACTGGTCTTTTATGTAAAGGTCTTACATGGTCTTAGATGAAAATCTAAGAATCTGATCTCAGATGCTAAAGGAGCTGGGAGTTGATGGTATTTTGGTGAATCTGCTTTTAACTTCAGTGAGATCCTATTCCACTAAGAATATTGAGCAAGACTTGCTGATATGGATTATCCTTACTCTTTACCCCCCACCATATAGCAAAGGTCAGAGGTGCTGAGCAGGATGTACCCTTTGGTTGAGGCAGCACATCTTGGTAATGTACAAAGCCACGAGGAATGGTTTAGTGAAACAATGTGGGAATGCATGTGGGTAAAGTGACGTCTGTTGAAGAATGATAATTTAAGAAGATTAAAAGATGCACTGTCACACTGAAATAACTGCATTTAAAGGGGTGGCACCTACCTCAACCGTCTTGCAGGTCTCCTCCAGCTGTGTGACGATCCCTTGCATTCTGTCATTGCTCCCCACCAGGACTGCAATGCCATCACTCAGCTCAGACTAGGCAGTAAGGAGAGAGCAAGCAGAAGGGTGTCAGGTGCTGTCACACTTCAGGGTGACACATCAAACAGTGGGGAGCAGGGGACAAATAAGCCATACCCCGGATATTACTTCATCTTTCCACCAGAACTGAGAAAAATTGGAGCTTTATGTGCCCACAAGATACCTGCTTGTATTTTGACATTTGTTTCCCCCCTCCACACACTATGAAAACATTGACATTTTGGAATTTTTAGTGGAGAAGAAACTGTGGTTTGGAAAGAAGGAAGAACTTTGTTCTAGGAAGTTCCTCTAGATGCTTTTGTCTGAAGTGCTGTTTCAACAAGCTCCAAATATTTCCTTTGGGTTTGTTGAGGGAAAAGACTCTTGAGAGGTTGTTTTTTCCATGTCTGGGTCTAGCCACACCACTGTGGTATTTCCCTGAGGACTGTAGCTCTTGGCCTTGAAATAGAGAAGAGGTGGCCCATGGACCTGGAGCAGCCAATGCGTTACAGAGTCCCTGCCATGCAGGCAGTGGGGTTGGAGTTGTTGGGGTGGTTGTTGGGGTTGGAGTGAGAGGGGACAGGAGAAAAGGAGGAAAAGAAGGTAGAGGCTGAGCCACTGGCATGAGGGAAATGAGTGGAGGAAGAAAATAACCTGAGTGTGGGCATGGAGATGATTATGAGGTATCCCTAAGAGAGACAAAGAAGCCAGTCCTAGGAAACTTGGGGAGGGTGATGCGGAGTGCAAAGGGCCCTAGGCACACCACTGTGGTAACAGAAACAACTGTGTTCATAGCCTCCACAGCTCTGTACAGGATCCTTTGAGACCTCCACAGCTCCGTAAAGGCTCCTTTGAAGCATGCATCCTGCAGCCTCCAGGTTATGCCTCTCATCTTGGGCATGACAGCCTCTTTCCATGGGCCCTCTGGAAAGGAATACACTGCTTGCAAATCTCCATGCAAAATGAGTGATTGCCGGCATGGATTCAGTCCAAAAAACTTCTCCTTCCTCTTCCACCTTTTTTTTTTTTTTATTGAAAAGGATGTTTTTAACTCCTTTCCTAAAGTAACTCCTCATTTGTAGTTTACATGCACACATGCATCTGTGTGACGAAGTTGGAGGCTGGGATTGCAAACTTGGCCTGTCTGATTGCTTGCCGCACTGGGGCCCTCCAGAAAAATGAGCTGTTTATCTCAGGAGGATAACCCAGTGAGTCAGGTTTTAAATTAACACTGTATTAAAAATAAACAAGTCTTTTATTGGTGACAGCAAGGGCAGAAGATGTTAGGTACATCCTGTGCTGCCAACTATTGAATATTCCTTCATTCACTTGCAGGAGGAGGTTTTTCACTTAACTTTTCTTAAAAATGGCATGCTTAAATGTAAAAGTGTCTGACAGATAACTATTTGATTTGAAATGGTCTGTTCTCTTTCCAGTTCTTAGTGTTGAAAATACCACTTGTTTGTCTCATCTGAAAGAACTGCAAAAAGGGATTAGGAACTCAAAAGAGAAATCCTCAGCTCCACATCAAAATTGGGACAAATTGTAGTATATTTTTTTGTGATCTCTCATAAATTTATTTTCCTGCATTTCTAAATAGTTTCACAGATTTATAGGAGCCTTTCAGTCACACACACGAGTGGCAAAGGCAACCCAGACCCTTTTGGAAACTCGCAGGAAGGTCATGGGAATACCTTCCTGTTGATGGTCCTGTCAGTTTCTTCAAGTACTTTGAGAAACAAAAAGATATTTACCTTCTGTTGCTGGTAAACATTCGTGAGGGGAGCAACCTGACAGTCTTTGTGGGCACCAAAGATTTTGCACAAGGAGCAGGTGGGCATTTCACAGTTCAAACAATAAATATTAATTCTCTCATCTTCGTGCTCTTCGCACATTGGCTGGTCACACTTCCTTTCAGGTCTGCAAAAGAAAATATTTGTTTAAAACAAAGATGGTGCTCATGAGTTTCTGATATCATCACTTTGAGTGTTAGCTTGAAATATGGTACATTTGTATAGCAGCAACCAAGGTTGACTGAATACACAGCATAGACTTAAACCTGCCCTATGGGATGACTAAAGAGACAATGGTACAGCTTAATACAGCTCAAATGACACAATATGATGTGATGCTAAGACAGCAACACGACTTTGTATAGGGATTCCCATATGAATGAGGAATGTGACTGGGAGTGTGACAGAATACTTGCTCATATTTAAAAATTCAAATAACCTCACTAAGCCTGGACTCAGACTACTCATGTATTTTAATTAGCATGTTATCTAACATCTGTCTGAAATATAAAACATATGTAATTTCTTTCTGGTTCATCATGCAAATTGTTGTGCACTTGGCTTAATGCAGCAAAGCTGTTATGGGGAAGACTGATTTAAGCAAGAGTTGAAGATGCTGATGAACCTTTAGGCCTGTAACTCTAAATCTCTGGTGCTGAGCTTTGTGAGGCCCTGGTCAGGACTGTCAATATCAAACAGCTCTGGGTCCTTACAGCCTTTACATTAGGCCAGCAACCAAAACAAGGTGTCACACAAATTGATTTCAGCCAGGTGGCACATGTCTAACATTACAGTGTCAAATGTTTTAGCAGTAGTTTATTCATCTGTACCCAGCAGAAAGCACATGGGCTATACAAGTGTTCTTCTCCTGTGCTAAGCCAGGAACTGTCACCACTTTATAGCTCAGTCTGATCGTCTCTTCACCAAAACCATTTGGCTGTATACACACAGGTCTGCACAACCTGCTATCTTAGGATAATGTAGTTGTAGCTTCCTTCAGATGAGCCACTTAACCAACATTCCCAGTGCCAGTGCCAGCTCCGGTCTGGTGTGTGTGGGCAGCGTGGTGCTTTCCTGAGCCCACACTTCAGGCTTAGCACCCTGAGCACATCTGTGGCAAACACATGAGTGTGTAAGCATGTGGTACAGAAGACAGGGGCCAGTAAACTCATGGAAAGAGTGTGTCTGGGATTCAAGTCTTCAAAAGCCACCACTGTTACTGTAGCAATGTTAACTATTTTCAGCACAAACCATTATCCCCTTCTGCTGTTGTTTGGATAGAGAACTATGACTTACCTGTAGCAAGTGGAACAATGCCATCATATAAATATTTTTTTCATCATTAGAAACTATGGAATTCAATGGAATTACATGGGAAGCTTTTTTAAAGCCTTTCTACAGTGCTCTGTAGCAAGGATGCAACCAGCTATTCTATTAAAGCTTAAAATGTATGGGGGAAAAAATATCATTATTTTGTATTATATTAAGTAGAGTTTTTCCATACCATTTGGTAGAGTGGATATGGCATTTAGTTTTTAATGACAAAGTACAGATTTTCTCTTCTGAAGGGAATGGAATATGATCAGTTTGATGTATTAGAAAAAAAAATCTAGCAAGAAGTAAAATGTCTCACACATTTGTGGGGCTTTTTTTAATTCAAGAGTGTCCTGGGATTAAAAGGGTTCATAAGGAAAATCCATAATCTGCCATATAACATGATATTTCAGAATAAAACAAGACAAACACTTCTGAAGAAAGTCTGTATTATTTGGGTCAGATTTCCAGCATTCATTAACACAAGGCACTTTGTCAAATCGAGCATTGTTTCAATGCTAGTCAAAAGAGGCGTGTCCCCTCCATAAAAGATGCTTTACATTGTTTGCAGATTACTGCAAACAGCCCCTAATATATTCATGTCATAGTGCACCAGTGGGAGGGCCCACGTGTGAGTGCAATACAATGAATTTCAAAGTGATTAATTAAGCCTGAGATAGCAGCTCTTCCTGCAAATATTTACAAGATCAGAGCCAGAAACTACCAGAATTTTATTGGACACTGGAATGGTGCCACTTGCATGAAAGACACATTACATAGATCAAAAAGGTGACGGTGTCAAGCAAGTTCAGCCAGCAGCAGCCAACCTTCAAAGGTGCCGCAGAGAGCTGGAAGCAACCTGGCAGAACTCCCTGAACTAGTGGGGCCCTGAAGACAGTGTCAGAAGACTAGAAATAAACAGATTTACAGTCTCCTCCCCAGGCAGTGCAAAAGGAGGGATTTTAGCACACAACTCCCTGATTTCAGATAGGATCCTCTAGATCTATGTTGGGGTAGCAGAGGCCAAAACACAACCTCTAAGTTTAAAGTGGAGATTGCTTCTGAAACAGGAGATTAAAGAGTAGCTGATAGGAAAATGGCTGCGTGGCTTTAGTTACAGAAAAGGTTCACGACAACTGTGCCAGTGACCAGAGAAATGTCAGACTGCTGAAATGTCCTGATACCTTTGTGGTCTCATTTTTGGACTCTTCCCTTTGAGATGCTAAGCCTGTACTTGAGTGTCAGAGGCACTTTCCCACTGAAATTGTGTTAGGACCACACCTGAAGAACTGACTGGGTCCTGGACTGCCCAGTACATGAAGACACTGACATACTGAAAGGAGTCCAGAAAAGGGCCCTGAAGATGATTAAGGGTCTACAGCAGCTCTCCTGTGAGGAAAGACTCAGAGAGCTGGAACTTTCAGCCTGGATCAAAGAAGGTTAAGGGGAATCTTAACAATGACCTTGATCTTATCAATACCTTTGGTTATCTAAATACCTGAATGGAGGGTGTAATGAGGATGGAGTCAGGCACTGTTCAGTGCCAGGACCAGAGGCAATGGACACAAACTGAAATATAGGAGGTCCCCTCTGAAGATCAGGAAACACTTTTTTACTGTGAGAGTGACTGAGTACTGGCACATGTTGCCCAGGATGATTGTAGAGTTTCCATCCTTGAAGATACTCATAATGAAGACATCCGGACATGCTCCTGGGCAACTGGCTCCGGGTGGTCCTGCCTGAGCAGCGGGATGACCAGATGCTCTCCAGAGGTTCCTTCAGTCTCAACCACTCTGTGACTGTGACTATAGGTGAGGCAGTGCAAAGTTGCTGGACACATAAAGAAGCACACTTTATTTAAGAACCTAGTAAACCCTTAGGAAAACTGCTGTTAGCATACTTTCTGTAGGATTTTTTCAAATCCAAAAAGGCCTCTGCTGAAGTGCTGAATCCAGTTATGACAGTGTTTTTACTGAGGAGCTTAAGACAGCTGTAGCACTTGCTGTGGCATACATCACCTGGTGTCTGCACCTGGTCAGGGGATGGAGAGGATCTGCACGGTTCTATGAGGCACAGTCAGGTCATTAGTAAAGGTATGAAACTGCATTTGCCACAGTATCAGTCTTGGGCATACAGTGCTAATGACTGGCCTCCACCTGACTTCATGCTGCTCACCATGACCCTTTGAGTCTGGCAGTACAGCCAGTTTTTGTCCAGGTCACTTTCCACTGTCCACTCTGTCACAGGAGACAGTGTGTAAAGTCTAGATAAACAGTAACTACTGCTCTCCTCTCATGCACCGAGTTAGTAATCTCACTATAAAAGGCTATCAGATTGGTCATGCTGATTTCCTCTTCATAAATCCATGCTGACTATTTCTAATCACCTTCATGTCATTTATATATTTAGAAATGGTTTCCAGGAAGGTTTGCATGAAATACTTTCTAAGGATCAGTGTGCAGGACTAGCCTGTAGTTCCCTTGATTCTCCTCCTTGCATTTCTTGAGGATTGGAGGAACATTTGCTTTCTTCCAGTCCAGTCTACAGGAAATGGTACCAATTACCACAGCTTTTAAAAGATTATTGAGAGTGACCTTGCAATAATATAAGTCAGCTCCCTCACCACTTATAGATGCCTCCCATCAGGATGTCCAATTTTTTTCTTTATATTCTCTAACCTGATCGCCCTCCACCAAAGGTGAGTCTTCCTTGCTCTAGAATTTCCCACTGGTCTCAGGGTACCATGATTCCATAAAACTCAACTTAATAGTAAAGTCTGAGGGTGAGTACATTGGCCTTTTCTACATTCTGTGTTACATGAGGCCCTGCTCTGTCTTGCAGTGTACTCACACTTTCCCTAATCTTCCTTCTGCTGCTGATGCAGCTGTAGAAGCTCTCATTAGCCTCCATGTCCCTCATCATATTCAGTTCCAGGTGGACCTTGGCTTTTCTAACTTCATCTGCATGTGCTTGGGGAGTGTATCAAAATCTTGCTGAATCACCTACCTTCTTTTTGTTTCTTTTTTATTTTTTTTTTTTAATCAGGAGCTCCCTCTTAATCAACACAATTGTTTTGTCACCATTGCTCGAGTTCCTGGATATGGGAATAGACCATTTTGACCTTGGAGGAAGGTGGTCCTTGAAAATCAGCCACAATGATGGACACTCTCAAAAGCAATGAAAAGCCCACCAATACCCAGGGTGGAAATGCAGCCTGAAAAATGAAAAGGCTATAGAAGTTCATGTGGACATAAGGATACGTGGTGCTCTGTTGCACTACTATCATGGATGCCCAACCCAAGAAAACTAATGGTGCAGGTGAGCTTGGGGCTTTGTCTTATGGGGAATTGGAGAAGATCCAGATGATCCCATTCCTCATCTCTTTCATTGCACAGCTTATGGGGCTCCTCCTCTCTTGGTGACCTGTGGTCAGGGAGCAAATTTCCCTGGCCCAGCCTGTCTGAGATCCCCAGATGCCCCTGCAACCTGGCCTAGAGAGACACATCCTGCCTTGGGAGATTGGGCTAACACCTCGGAGGGGCAGGGACAGACACTTCTGGTGATGCTGGCTATGGGGCCCTGCAGGACATCAGCACCATCGCAGAGCCCATGCAGGCTGCTCTCAGCACAGCCTGGTCCCTGCTGCACACTCTGCTCCACCCGTGCTGGGGGCTGCAGGGACAGCCGGTTCCTCGGGCTCTCCCTGGTAAATGCAAGGCAGAAAGAGTGCCCCACCCTCCCTGATCAGGATTCAGCAGGTAACAAAGCCCAAAGCACCTTTTGATCTGGAATAGCCAGCTGAGATCATTAGAACCTGCCAGATTTCACAAAAAGTCACAGCCTCCTGTTGCTACCCTTTCCTGGTGACAGCAGGGATCCTGATGTTCCTCAGATAGTTTAGGTGATCAGCAGCCTACAGATTTTCAAAGACTGGTTTAATATTTAGCCAACTCAGTTTCCACTGTTTTCAGTCCTTTGCTGTCTTTTAAAGCTTTTTACAAGCCACCTCCTGCTTGAAGAATTCTTCCGTTGTGTTGCTAACACATTCTAAATTGGGCAACAGGCTATGCTGCCATCAGCTGGAATTTGATGAGCAATGGGATAAAAGACCATATGATGTGATACTTAGTAATAGGAGGGGCTGCATATGAGGGCTTAGGCGGACTCTCCCAACCTCAGTCCAGCTCCTGCCCCAGTTTTTATTTTAAAAAACCCCAATTTCTTAATTAAAATAGAAAGTCCAATTACAAAATAATAAAATAAAATAAATAAAATAAAATAAAATAAAATAAAATAAATCAACCAAACCTTTTGAAATAAGCTAGTAAAATCTTGCTCCCTTGCTCCCTTTTCTCTCAGCTCATGTGAGATGCAGATGGGAGCTAGCCTCATTCTGGCACATGCAGTTATAGTGAATTATACCCACAGGAGAACTCGATGGGAAGAGGTTCCTGTCTGGAAATCACACATGCTGCCAGTTTGAAGGGGTGTCTTGGGAAGAACAAGGAGGCAAAGATCACATCTCACCCTTCTTCCTATGCATCTCTGCCAGACCCCATTTGTCACAGTGGAAGAGACTGGTATAGAAGGAAGAAGTGGGGAAGAGTTGTGTTCCCTTGACTTTTTGCTTTCAGTGGGACAGCACTGGGAAAAGCCATGAAAGATCTGCTCACACTCTCAGGGGAGCCCAAGGAATGTCAGGCAGAGGGAGATAAGCAGCTGAGGCCCACAAAGGGCCGAATAGTTTAGATAATGCTGCTATGCATTGCTGCTACTATGTAACCCTGACAATGACTTTCATTCTAAGGACATATATGAAGGTTAAATAAGCACCGTAACAGATTAAATAAGCAAGTCTTTTGGACAAATATATAAGCAAACCCATGGATTCCCAATATTCTCCTGTTTTATTCATCATGTGCTTAACTTTTGTGGAATTTTTTAAAAATCTACTAAATCTATTCTTACATTTCTACTTAACTGTATTTTGTTCCAATTCCCCATGAACTACACAGGAAAGAGGACCTGCCTTTTTTTTTTTTTTTTTTTTTTTTTTTTTTTTTTTTTTGCTTTAAATACATCTGTGAGCTGAAAAAAAAGCAAAACCAAGGAAGACATGAGGACATACATGTCCAGCTTATTTGATCAAAAGCAAAGTCCACCCTTGCAGCTTTGTTGATTCATTTCCTCCGAGATTTTCCTGACTAAAATAATATTTGAGTATCAATGACACACACGGGGGTAGCTGACCTTTACTTGGCACAGAGCGCAAAGGGCAGCAGAAAGGACAATTTTAAGCCAACTTCGTGCTCTCCAGTGTTTTGGAGCTCCAACCTATGCCCAGCTGCCACAGTCCTCAGAGATATCCAAGCAGTTGAGAACAGCCAAAGCCACCATAAGGCTCTATCTCTCTGCTGGTGACTGTCCTTCTCTGCTGGAGGAAGCATCCTCAGCCACCCCAGGGACTGGGTTCTGGTGGCTGTGTCCACCTGCACCTGTGATGCCATCTCTCTGTCCCTGGGAAATCCAGCTCCTTGTTGCGGTGGGATCAGAAGACTGTCAGGGAGCATGGCCAGGATTACACCTTCCAGGTGAACAAAACACCTTGCCATACTGAGCCAACTCTTAAGAATCCATGCTGGTGACAAAAAACAGCTTCCCTTGGGGCTCCTGGTGGCCTGGGACCAGGTTAACTCCATCATAGAATCACAGAATCATAGAATGGGGTTGGGGGTGGAAAAGACCTGAGAGATCTTGCAGTTCCAATGTCTCTACCTTGGGCAAGGACACCTTTCACTAGCCCAGGCTGTGTGAAGCCCCATCCCTCCTGGCCTTGAATGCTGCCAGGGATGGATCATCCACAACCTCTCTGGGCAACCTGTGCCAGTGCCTCACCATCCTCACAGTGAAGAATTTCTTTCTATATCTAATCTAAACCCACTGTCTTTCAGTTCAAATCTTTGTCTTATCACTTCATGCCCTTGTCAGAAATCCCTCTGCAGCTCTCTTGTAGGCCCCCTTTAGGTACTGGAAGGTGCTCTAAGGCCTCCCCAGAGCCTTCTCTTCTCCAGGTTGAACAACTCCAACTCTTTCAGAAGAGAGATGCTCCAGCCCTCTGAGCACCTCTGTACCCCTCCTCTGGACTCACTCCAGCAAACCCATCCTTATGCTAAGGACTCCAGACCTGGATGCAGTATCCCAAGTGGGTCTCATAAGAGCAAAAAGAGGGAGAAGATTATCTTCTTCACCTTCTCCCTACTAAGTTCTCCACAGTGGTATCATGAATCCAACCCATCCCAAGGAAATAAGGATGAGAACACATTTTTCTGTTTCTGGATCCACTACACGTCAAATGCAAGAAATTACCATTCAGGAGTAATCTTACTTTTTCAAATTGACCTATTCCTCTGCCCTGAGGTCTTTCTTCTTGTGCACAGCCACACAGCTCTGGAATGTTTTGTTAACTGCTCTTCCTTCTCTTTCATGGACTCATAAATAACACTTTATTTCATAAGTTCACATCCCAAACTGACAGGAATGGAGATATTTTTAACAGAATTTTCATTTGGTATTATGATGCAGAGTACCTTCTGTGTGAAATTCAGTTTTCTTTCTGTTTGCACTGTCTGTACCTGAGGATTTTCTAATAAGATTTGAAATCTTTCCCCTTCTTTAACATGAGAATGCACAAATAATTGTCTGAACTGTTTTTGCAATAAATGATGTTAACCAAAATACTTTTCTCTTAATCATATTAGTAGCTGTGCTGACCTCAAGGGCCTTGCTTTCACAGGTAAGTGTTGCTCATGTGAATAAATATGGCCCAATCCCTTGCTGTAAGTGGAAACAGGGAAGTTCAGCATTTATTTGGATAAAGTTTTCTGTACTCAGTGAGAGCTAACTTCATGGTGCAGCAGTCAGACATGGCAGCACAACCCCTTTCTGCTTTTCCAAGAGACAAAATGACTAAATCAACCTCTGAAGAACACACAGTCCCTTGTTACCTTGTGGACTCCTGCTTGTAGATGTCGATGATGTTCTCCACCAGCAGGTTCCTCTGCAGCCCGTAGACGCCGTGTCGGTCCAGTAACACCTCGTGCCGGCAGGAGGGACAGCGGAAGCGGCCTCCCGACGCCACAGTTGTGCCTCCCCTGGTCGGCAGGTAGGGGTTGGAGGCCTGTTCTTGCCAAGCAGCACAAGGAGAGGAAGGTACGGCCATGAAAACCCATGAAAGCCTCTTCCAAAAGCACCAAATGGTAGGAAACCATTTGTCACTATGCCAAATGAGAGGGTAATTCCGACACGTCACCCCTGGGAAAGCAGCTGGTGACTGCTGGGCGAGGGGCCAGTCCCTCAGCTCACGCTCGGCCATGTCACCACAGCCAACAGGTGGCACTTTCACCTGCTGGGAGCTCAGCCCTGGCACCCAGATACATCAACTTTGGCCTTAAATTACTCCCCCCAGCCCTGTTTCACCAACTGTTAAGAGTGATCTACCAAAACATGTAAAAAATCTTCTTTCCCATTCATTCCACCCAGTCCTGCTTGGGAAGCAGAGCTGTCTGTGGGAAGAAACCTACCTGGAAGATGTCACTGGCGCACTTCCGACAGAGATTGTGCTGGCAGGGCAGGATGACCACTGGCTTGGTGAACATCTCCAAACAGATGGGACAGATCAGCTGTTTCTCCAGGTTATCCATAGTTTGCTGCTCTTTGGAGAACGACTTGTAGCTCAGGGAGGTGCTCATCCCTAGCTTTTCCTGGGGCATGCGCTCAGGGCCACGGCCTTGTGGAGAGGTTTTGGGGTAAATTTCCCCTGAAATAGGTCCAAGGCTGGGCTGCGATCAGAGGCTGTCTGTGCTGCTCGGGCCGGAGGACATTGTTTGAGCGAGGGGCCGAGCAGAGCCGGGCTGTTTTTAGCAGTGCTGCGTCACGAGCTGCCGTCCTGCCGTGCCCATATATGCGCGTGAGAGCAGGACGGGCTGGGACAGGTGACGGCTGCCGGGGAGGGGGGAGGCCGAAGAGGCCCTGGCTCTCCTCACTCACACATGGCAGCCTTCACCCCTTGAGGAGTTGTGGGAGTGATAAGCAAAGGCCATCTGCTCCCTTCCCTTATCTTTGCAGGTCAATGGAGACCGAAGGGCTTGCCCCAGCCTGTGCAGCCACATCCTGCAGCCTAATAGACATTCTGTTGTGAGTGAGCAGCTGTGGCCACGACAGGCAGGATGTAGTTTTGCCCATGTGTTTTGGGAGGCTCCTGGATCCTACCTTTCCAAGGTGTGGAGTACATGTGGCTACTGGAGAAGACAATAGGAGTGGTGGCTGCTCTGGAGCTTGAACACTTCAGGGTGTAAACATCTCACCACCTTGAAAACCAGACTGTCGGACAATTCAGACTTCTTGTGAATTATAATGCCTGTATTGTCTCACCCTTCTCATGTGACTGAAAATAGAATAAAAGTTTTTAAAAACCCTCTGAGTTGCCCCATCTTTGAGTCAGAAAAAGGTATAATCTGACACCAGACAAAGAAAATTGCCCACCTATAACTGTGCTTGAGTTTGTTCTGGTAAGATTTTGGTCTTAGGAGCGATAACATAAAAATCCAACGTGACTTTGTGCCATTTGTGCACATTAACTCCAGGGGCAGGTTAAATATGCATGAAGAACATTTGAATTTCCTGATGAGAAAAAAAAAACCAGAAGAAATACAGTGTGAAAGGCTTTCATTTGTGCTGCTGGAGAATAGGTACTAATTGTATATGCTCTCTCTCTGATAGTTTGATTCAAATATATTTTAGTTTTGGGCACTGCTGTGTTTATATCTGTTTATTAGACACTGATATCCCTTTCAGCTTGGCATTTGTTCCAGAGTTATTTTTAAAATGACAATTTCCCAGATAATTTGTGACATGTGATGCCTGATCTTAAGGGAAAGCCATCTGTGCTTCTAGTTGCCAATAATTTATCACACAACTGTACAAGCAATAAATATCTCATCTTCAAATTTAAGCCAAAGTCCCTGCACTACTGTATAAAATCACTTTGCCACCATACTGTACATGTAATCAGAATATTTTCTTCTCTTTCAGTCAATAACTACAATACTTTCTCAGTTCAGCGTCTTGTAGAAACTTTTAATGTTTATTCTGCCTTATGACTGTATAGGGCTTGCATCTGAAAAATGCAGTAGAGCAGCTGAGTGAGTGCCCCATGCATCCAGGGACAGACCCCAGTTCTAAAGCAGGGCCCTCAACTGCATGCAACACCAGTGTGTGCACTTCAGGAAAATGTAAAAGTGAAGGCTTTCATGGATTTTTGCATGAAAATGAATACTATCCTCTGCATGCAATTTTAATAAATAACATTAAATTAAATGTATTATTGACTATTTTATTTTCATAGCCTCACATACTTAAGTTTGAGTGAACTGTACTCATTTGCAGCCCACCAAGCTGCAAATTCCCCTGTGTAAACTTACACACATTTGTCAGCAGTCCCTTAGAAACAAATAGATTTTTCTAAGTCTTGCGTTCACGGGAAATTAGTCACAGCTTAGTTAAACCCACTTGAAATCACACCTTTGCTTTGACTGCCTGGTGTGGACAAGAGCCTGGAGTCCAGTGGGAGAAGCTGCTCTGGCAGCTGAGCTGTGGACAGCTGGGGCTTTTGGCAGGGCTGGCAGGGAGCCTTCCCTGGCAGCAGCAAGAAGATATTTCTCTTCTTTCCCTCCCCTCATAGCTGGGTCAGAGGTGACTTTTGCATCTGGAGAAATCTGAACGCCTCATTCTTGCCCTCCTCGCTTTGAGTCAGCTGTCCCTTGCACAGCAAAACCTGCTTCAATAAGGGGCTCGGAATTAAATGAGGAAAGCCATCCTCATCTGGCAGGGCAGGAACTTCCACCTTACTGCACAGGCAGAAACAGAGACATTCTGGAGGGAAAAGCTGAAGGCTAGAAATGTCAGCACACAAAAACACCTGCATATGCTGATGTAGGGAAGGGGGTGTTCATGGCATGAAAAAAAAAAGCCATGCTGGCTTTCTGGAGAATGAACTGAGGTGCCTCTCAGGTGTAATGTGCCACTGGGATGTGATTCTGGTGATTTTATACCTACCCACAGTAACCTGCAGAAGGCTTCTGCTAAGTGGCTGAGCAGGACATCTGATGCATCTGCAGGGGACATCTGGTGGCAACAAGGTGAGGGACAGCATGCTGCTGGCTTTCCCCTTTCTGTGTGCTGAACATGGAACAGGTAACACACAGCATAACCAAAAAGAGAAATCAACAAAACAAAGGTAAACCCATCTTTTGCAACCAGGCCTGAGCTGAAATATTTTTCTGGAAGGACCATGTAGTCCAGACACGTGAAAAATTAGTATCGGTTTTTCTGACAAGGTATTGTGAGCCATAGTAATAAATTACAGGTAAAGAAATGCAGAGGCTTGACCACACTTGCAAAGGCAGGATGAGAAGTGCCAGGAAAGCCACACATTTTCTGACCACTCTGCAAGAAAGAGGAAGAGAAGAGCCAAGTTCAAGACACTGAGGAAAAACAGGAAGATCCTGCATCTGGTCTTCTGCAGGGACTGCTCAGGATAAGCTTCAAAGAACTCACACTGAGAAAGAGCCTGGACCCTCCTGTCTCTCCCTGGCAGCCCTGTCCCCCTCCTCTTCCTCCCCTTCCACTCCTGCAGGGGAAAGCCGCCAGCACACACAGCTGTCCACCTCTGAAGAGTCACCAAGTCAAGCCATCTCTCAAGGGACAAACAAAGGGCAAGAGGACTTGCTTTAACGCCCCTTCTGGACAGAAAATCTAGACGTCTGCAAGAAGAAATTTTTTTTTTTCCAGTATTGCTTGTCTGGGAGTGTTACCTGGCTTTGTTGACATAACCAGAACACTATTTCCTAAATATAGGCTTGCTTTTACAGACATTACTTCTAACTCCTCTGTTTTGCAGCTGAATAAAAGCTTGTGGCCTGTGGACTGATTGTCTGAAACCTGGAAAGCTGGCTGCAAAGCAATGGGCTTAGGAGAGGGATTTGGAGGAGGAAGGAGAGGTTGAGTGATGTCCAGGTTCACGTTTCAATGCCATAATGATATCTCTGGGTTTTGCATTCACAGAATTCCCCTCTGCAGCCTCTTATCTTGTATCAGAGTTGTGAAGCTCTTGTGTGTCACTCAGAAAATCAGCCCTGTGGCTCTCTCGCATGACTGGAAAACAAAGAGAAAAATCATATTTTGGCCAGAGGATGCTGTCAAAAACATGCTCCCACATGAGCTGTTTCTCCAATGAGCCTGCAGAGACAAAGTGCATTCTGCAAGGAGCAGACTCCTTGTCCAGGCATCCTGTCCTGAAGGTGGTGGGTGGTGAGAAGTATCCTGGTCCATGGGGTGACAGTGCCTTGGCTTGCTGCCACCCACCTTCTGCCTGTCCTGGGGGGTGAGCAAGCCCTCTGCCACCCAGCCCAGGAGTGGGCAGACCTATACACTGGCAGCTGCCTAAAAGAGCTGGGAGCTGCCCAGCTGCCCGGGCAGGGACCAACACCCACCCCCACCCCGCTGCCTCCAGCAGCTCCCCACACTCCTGAGGCTGGTGGGACTCACCTGCAGCTTCCCACAACAGCCCAGCTGCTGGAAGAGGACAGAGCTGGTGGGTGCCTGAGCAATACGACATCCTAACAAAAACGAGGTAACCGTCTCAAATTCTGCCCACCCAAATGTGAGACTTAGGACAAAATGATGATGCATCCTTCCCATCTTCCCATAATGCTACCTCTGCTTGTTGTTCTGGCTGAAAAGATTTGCATTTTTAGCCAAGCACGCCTCGGGGAGGCTAGGGGAGGTTCTCCATCAATCTCACCTTTGGTCTGTGCCATTTATCCTGCTGAGAACAGTCCCTCGGGAGCGGGTGGCAAGCACCGGCATTCCCACCTACAAGCGAGCATGCTGCAGACTCAGATTTCACTTACATTGGCAACAACTTAAAGAGCCGACAAGCCAGCTATAAGATGAAGCCCTCCTACCTATACAAGTGCAAACTGCAAATTATATTTTGCATTTCATGATTTTATTGTGATGGATATACACGCCATGATAAATACTGAGACTACCCTTGTGTGTAACTCAATTTACGCAGCCAAAGAGAGCTTTTGCAACAGAGACAAGTGCTTTCAAAAACACTTGAGGCTTTGAGACTGACATTTTTTCCACTCAACACATATATATATACATATATATATATATACACATCTTTGTCTTTGTGTACCTCATATGTGATGACAGGCCATATGCGGTCAGTATTTGGAGACCTTCTAAAAACAGGTTTCAGATCTCCAGGAAAACAAAGACCAGCACAGGAGATAATGACATCTTTAGAAAGCTTCTTTTGCACATATAAAATCACACTGGAAGAGGAAAACTCAAAGCATTTCCAAGGGTGAGTCACTGGGAGCACATCAAATGTATGGGACTTGAGATTTCAGGAACCAGCTACAAAGACCAGACAGAGGGAGGATGTCTGCTCTTTTCTTTTTAACAGAGTATGGACACTGCCCTGAGCTGACCTGTGCTCCAAAGCAGCCTTCTCTGGTTTTATCCATACTCAAGAACCTTCCATGGTTTGTAGCAAACTGGGAGAAACATGGGATAAAAGGGGGTATGAATTAGAGAATAACTTCTGTTCCAAATTAATCAGTGGCACGAACATGAATTATAGCAGATAAATCTTAGAGACTTGGATTAAAAGACCCTGAAACAGTGAAAGTCTCTGGACAAACTGTATCAAAGACTCATTCCTGCATGCTGTGGTTCTGCCATCATAGTGACACCAAGACATGAGATCACTGCCCCACCTGTCTGCCTCGGAGAAGGAAGATCCTTTGGCTTCCTTCTGCCCTCCAGCAGTGCCAGCAAGCCAGAATGAACCT